CCCCAAACAAACAAAGCGTCTAAAAATCCAGATTCCTTCAAACATTTCACCCTTCATTATCATAAACCAACCAATTTTTACCCAAAATCGTGAGAAAAATAGGCTTACGAACAAACTATAAGACAACGAATCTGTAAAATCGGAAAAGAAAAGCAAGAAAGAGGAAGATTGCAACAAAAGTAAAGGTTGAAAAGACAAAAAAAAAAAAAAAAAAAAAAAAAAGTTGGAAACCTATTTACTCACGAGACTAGCAGCTACTGACTGTAAGGTGGTGGAAATATTCTCAGTGAAGCGTCCGCCGAATTGCCTGAAAGAGAACCTGAAGTTGAAACTGCGGCTGTTATACCATCGCCATTTCAGGTCCTCCGAGAAGATTCCCAGTTTTGGAGCTTTCAGTGATTCCCAATTGCCTTAAAGTACAACAAAATATATTTTTGTAAAAACTTTTATATTTTATCTAAGAAAAATACTTGAATTTTTAAAAATTTCAATAATATTTTAAAATTAGAAAAAACAAAAATCTTTAAAATATTAATATTTTGTTTAAAAAATAATTTTACCTGGGAATGAGTGAACTTCAACTCATAATATTATGTTTTACCGTGTTTGATGATGAAAGTTTCACGTCCGCTAAGCTAGGGAATGATCATTGATTTATAATCAAATAATACTATCTCCATTAGTACGAGGCTTTTGGGAGCCTAAAGCAAAATCATGAAAGTTTATGCTCAAAGTGGACAATATCATACCATTGTGGAGAGTTGTGTTCGTCTAACATGGTATCAAAGTCATGCCTAAACTTAGTGTCAATAGATTGGTAAATCCTCAAATGTCGAACAAAGGACTCCAAAAGAAAAGAAGTTGAGCCTCCTCGAGGGCATAGTCAAGAAACGACTAAGACTTCAAAAAGAAAAAGGAGGAGTCGAGTCTCGATTAAGGGGAGGTGTACTTTATTCGAGGGGTGGTGTTGGGTGATGAAAGTCCCACTTCAGACAGGCCTTTTGGGAAACCCAAAACAAAGCCCTTATGCTCAAAATGGACAATATCATACTATTGTGGAGTGTCGTGTTCGTCTAACACACAACACCTTATTTGGTAAGTCTCCAAAATGTTAAGCATATTGAATCCGCTGTAAAAACTATTTTCACTAATGTCAAGTTCTCACTGGATTGTTTAAATCAAATCATTTGTAACAATTACAAAAATGCATAATATTAATCGGAGATATAACAATCAAAATTATTAAAAATTAATAATTAATTAGAAGACTTTAGGACATAAATTCCAATAAAACTGACTTGATACTCTTTAGATTAGACTTATGGTTTTTTTTTTTTTTTTTTTTTAAACAGACTTGGGATTGTAAGACACTCACTTCCTAGCAACATGTGAGTTAAGCCTATTCGTTCTTGCGTCGCCTATGGCCAAGTGATGTATACTCGAGCCTCTGGCCCCGGTTCAAGAATAAAATTTTAGAAAACGAGGGCAGAGAGATTTTGAAAAAGAGTTTTGAAAGCAAGATTTGAGAAATTGAAATTAATGTTACATGGGAATGTAAGCAAAAGGCAACAACAACGCCTTACTGCATATAACTATCAGGTAGGGACAAAACTGAACAATTTGGAGAAAAAAATTCAAAAGAAAAGCAAATGAAACATATATCTAATCTTGAGTCTAAAGCTCTGATACCAAATGATATGAAATCAACTCAAAAGGAAATATCTGATACCAAAGTATAAGGAATCACTGCTACTTAAGTAAGATTCAGATTACCTCGTTGATCAAATATCTCAAGACAAAAACACTTGTTTGAGACCTTGTGATTTGAATCACTCCACAAGAAAGATCGATCATGTAAGTTTAAATGATTCTAAACATGCAACCTAAACAACGTCGTTTTAATGATAAAAGAATCACTCAAACAGAAAGATGATCATGTCATGCTGGAATGATTCTCAACCCTTGATTCAATAACTCCGCCCAATAAAACATAGAAATGATAGCCTCTCAGGGAGCCGCCCCCAATAGCAATGATACGACACTCGCTATAGTGGATCAAGACGTACAACGATGGGTTTGAGAAGAAACCCAAGGTGACAGAGAAGCTAACTTTCAAATAAATTAAACGATCTAATAATTATGTAAAAGCATAGTGATAGAATATATTAGCCTTTAAAGTATGGTTTTCAATTTTAAAAGAGTATTTATAAGATATTGATAATAATAAAAAAAAAATTATAATCTTTCAACGGTCCAGAAATTGTTTCGAGAATAATACAAGTAAAGATGTTTTAACCTTTAAGTAGAGCGGGGAGTTGGGAACTCATTTTCATGTGTTAGGTGCATTCCAATTTCTCTCTCCCTTTCAATCAATGTTTAATTTCAAATCCGTTAAAGTTAAAAAAGTAAATCTAAGAAGGTAAAAAAAAAAAAAAAAGTATATATTTAATGTTAAGACGTGTCACAATCGGACTTTTGTAGTTGCGGGACAGTTATTGTACAACACTTATTTTAATCAAGCGAACAAGTCAGTCGTGAGAAATTTAAACTTTACAAACATCATATGATCGAACTTCGAACTACATCATATATTTGAAAACAATTAAAATATTATATTTATTTAAATCTCATTCAAATATATCTTTTTTAATGTATATTTAACATATTAAATATTAATTTAAATATATATATATATATTTTTTATTTAAAGAGATGGTTACTCGAAAATATTTTCATTTTAATTTTATTATTTAAGTTTGTTTACTCCTATAATTATATATATAATTTTATTGATTATTTAATAAATAATCAATACTCTCTGGTTAAATTTTCAAAACAGTATATTTAATGAATCGACAAAGAAAATCTCTTGAATTATGCAAATTAAAAATCAAATCCTCACAGACAGACACTCATAACTCATTACTCAGGATTAAGATCAAATCAAGTATGATCATCATGTTAAATATTTATCTTCTCAATTAACTAAATTAATAAAAATATAATTTTATATTTTATCTCAAAAATGCCCTTAAAAAAAATTTAAAAATACCTTCAGATTTATTATTATTATTATTATTTTTTATGGAAATTATTAATACTTTATTTCAAACTATTAATACTTTGTCTCAAAAATGTTTTAATTTTTTTTTTTACTTCAAAAACACTTTTAAACTTTTTTAAAAAGTTCGGTAAATATAAAAAGATAATACGGGACTTTCCAAAGTAATATTAAATTTTTTGTAAATAATGTATATGAATAGATGGTTTTCGTCCATATGTTGATTGTAGAATTTTTTTTTTATAAAAGGAAAGTATGTAAATGCTAATTTAAGAAATGTATGGGTATTTAAAAAAAAAAAAAGATCGAAGCAACAATATTTTTGAACAAAAAAAATTGGAGAGTATTAATAAAACTTTTTAAGTATATTTTTAAAACAGTAGTAATAGTAACGGTTTCTCTCCAAAACTAATGATAATAGTATTTTATTTTATTTTTTAAATTTAAGAATATTATTGAAAATTTTCACCGTTTAAAATTATTATTTTTTAGATAAATACAAAATTTAGAATTATTTTTATGAATGTATAAGACTATAAATTATTTAAATTATTTTTTTTAGGAAATTATTTTATAATTGATTAGAGGTAAAAAAAAAAAGAAAAAAAGTAAATTTTATTAATAAAGAACTAGTGAGTAGGTGGAAGAGCTCTTTTTCTAATCAGTCCCAACTTCAATGATGATCTTGCTTCAAGTGGAGGGCGATAAAATGGGCAAGAAAACAAGAACAATCTCACTTTCTTCTCCTTTTCTCTGCCTTAATTCTCGCTTTAGCACTCGTGTGGGGTGAACCCTGAAGCCTCAAGATTACAGCCATCTCCCCAGAAACGGAATACTCATTCAGTGATGGAGGAGTTGGTGTAGAGCCCCCATCAATGGCCTTCTTCGTCCATTCAATCAATTCGAACGCCGCTCCATTTCAGTGATCATGTGAGGACGACAATCCCCAATTTCTTCTCCCAGCGCAGCTCCCTTGAGCCGCCTCTGATTCTTCCCCAAGTCATCGGAGAATTTTGTTGAAGATAAGGGGTTTAGCGATTCTCCTTCGATATCGATTTCTGTTGAGCGATTTTTTGATTTCTGGGGTTTCTTTTTGTCGTCTATGATTTTTGATTTCCCTTGCTCTAATCTGATTTTGAGATTCTGGAAGTGGGTTTTGTGTTTTGTTTTCTTGTTCTTAGTTCTTTAAGGGTTTTGGGTTGTATTTGTACTGATTAATCAATGGGTAACGTGAATGGGAGAGAGTATGTAGACGAAGAAGATGATGATGATGAAAATGAAGAAGAAGTTGAAGAAGAGGGTTTAATTGTGCATGAGGGCGTCGCCGTGGCTGATGGCGCTCATATTCTATACCGCCCGCAAGGTGTTTGTCAAAAGTTGTTGGGCGGCCAGTCCCCTCCACAAAGCCCCACGGCCACTCGATCGCCATTGATTTTCACTCCTCAAGTAAGCCCTCTCTCTCTCTTTATCTTGAGAAGTTCCTTTTAGTTTCTTGTAGCTAATTGCTTATGCTTACTAGCAATGTGATGAATCTGAATTAATGTATTACCTGGATTTTGAATTTCATTTGGAGATTGATATCACCTCTTGTAGATATAACTTGTATGACAATGGATAAATGTTAGTTTTGATCTTCAAGTTTGATACAGAGATTTGTTGTTGGCTGAAAAGAAGTGGGATAAGTTTGAGATTATGGAGGTTAGTGTTGAGGATGGTTGGGAGGGAGTCTTGCCTCGGCTAATTAAGGGGTTGATCATGGGTTTATAAGCAAGGAACACTATCTTCATTGGTACGAGACCTTTGGGGAAATCAAAAGCAAAACCGTGAGAGCTTATGCTCAAAGTGGACAATTTCGTACCATTGTAGATAGAGTCCCACGTTGGCTAATAAAGGAGTTGATCATAAGTTTATAATTAAGGAACACTATCTCTGCTGGTATGAGGTCTTTTGAGAAATCAAAAGCAAAACCATGAGAGCTTATGTTCAAAGCGGACAATATCGTACCAGTGTGGAGGTCTGTGATTTCTAACCGTTAGTTGAAGGCTTTGCCTACTTTGTTTTTTTTTATTCGAGAAGTTGGTTTAAGGCAGTTGCTTTTGCTTAAACTTTATATAATGGGGTTCATTCATTTTTTTTTTCCTTCAATATATATACATTGGGTGTATCTAGCTGCTGGTTCAGCTTAGAGCTGACAAGAACATGTTCAATTTCAAGAGACATAAAGTTACTTCACACTTGTCAAACTTTAACAAATTCATGTTACAGAGAGAACAAGAGGAGTTGATTGAAATGGTCCTATGTTTCATTCTCAGTAGGATAGGCTGTTGTTTACTATCATCTTTTATTAGTTCCTTAATGTTTCTTTTACACTTTTATCCTCAGGTTCCGCTCACTCCCCTACGAAAACCTGATGAGATGCTCGTAATTAGCCAATCCCAAATGATGCAAGGTTCCTTGGGATATGAAGAAACGTGCGAACAAAGCATTCCAACCATGATTACATGGAGTTATGGAGGAAAGGAAGTAGCTATTGAGGGATCATGGGATCTATGGAGAACAAGGTTTTCTTCTCTTTTTGTACCATTCCACGATTATCGTTTCTGAACTGCTGCCGAAATATCTGATACTAGTTGTACCTCATTAACCAGAACACCCTTGCAGAGATCAGGGAGAGACTTCACTATAATGAAAGTGCTTCCTGCTGGGGTTTATCAATATAGGTTTCTCGTGGACGGACAATGGAGGTATTCGCCGGAGTTGCCTTGGGGCCAAGATGACGTTGGAAACGCTTACAATGTTTTGGACTTGCAGGTAACTGATAACATAGGATATGCAAGGAAAAGGGTAGAGTTAATCGACTTGGAGATAAACTCGTGTTGTTTCGTAAACAACCATTAAATATTTTAGCCTACTTCAATGCTTTTTCCCTATGAGGCCCGAAACTTGGTTTGTCTAACTAACAATCAATAGTCCATCGACATAGACAATCTATCGTTGTATGTCAATTGCTTTTTTTCCTTTTATATTCCGCTTGTTCTTCATTATTGGTGTTGGTGTTACTATTCTCTGTTAGAAATCACGACTCTTCGTAATGGTATGATATGTCCACTTTGAGTATAAGCTCTCATGGTTTTGCTATTGGTTTCCCCATAGCTGAGACCTTACATCAGTTCATCAATTATGCAGGATAACGTGCCTGAAGATATCGAAAGCATCTCTAGCTTCGAGCCTCCTCAGTCACCAGATTCGAGCTATGACAATTTACTACTCGGGTCTGATGACTACGCGAAAGAACCGCCATTGGTTCCCCCACACCTACAGAAGACACTGCTCGATTCGCCATCATCATACATGGAGATTCCGCCCTGTCTGTCAAGGCCACAACATGTAGTATTGAATCATCTTTACATGCAGAGAGGGAAGAGCGGTCCATCGATTGTTGCACTCGGGACGACACATCGGTTTCTAACCAAGTATGTAACTGTTGTGCTCTACAAATCTTTCCAAAGGTAAGTAAATCTCTTACTTATCTTATTGTCTCTGCTGTTCTGGGTTATCTGTAATCATAAATTTTGACATGCCAATGCCAAGTTAGTCGAGGCAAACCAAGTTTGTGCTTCAGAAACCTCTAAACCCACACTGCCATCTTGGTTTGATTTGTTCTTCACCAGTTGACACTCATTTTAGAAAGATTTGGTTTACTGTTTGCTTTCTCTGCCATTATGGAATTTGAGTTTATGATAGCTGATTATGTAATGGTTTATATAAATGTAGTCTTGATTCCTTAACATACACCAACCAATCTGTTTTGTTAGCCTAAGTGTTACGATCACGATCAGGGTTGACGTCTTTGTCAACCGACTCGGACAAGGAAGACCAGGACATCCGCCATGCGGCCATAGGCAACATGTCTTGGACAAGTATGACCGTGACACTAAACATCCCCTCAAATTCTTCGACTCAAATTGGAGATTTGTTTTTAAATTATTTATTTTATAAAATGGTGTATGTTTTGTTTTGGAGAGACTAAGGCTTTGCCGGAGCGAAAAGGAAGTCTTTTATAGAAACGATAGAGTTTGCACTTGTCAAATTCGTCTTTTCGGGGTCGTTTGATTAGAGGTTTTATTTAAGGTGCTGAAAATATAATATGCGTCGGAAAAAGATATTTTAATCTATTCTATTATTCTTTAGTTAAGTAATTAGTAAATTTTTTATAACTAATTATTTGATGATTAATTTCGGGTGCTTTCCATTTAAAAGAGTTCATGCTTCATTTAATTCATCTAACCTAGTTCGTAAATGTTTTAGCAGTAAGTCTACTTACATGTTGGTTTAAATCGAAGTCGTTAAATTTACTTAGACGACGGTGGTTTGATCATACTCGTCAAAGTCTGATTCTCGTCAAAGTCTAATTCCACTTATGACATTTCATGACATCATAATTAGAACATAATCAATAAGCTTACTTCTCATACATGCATTGTCAGAAAACAATATCTAGCTCATTGCAATTGTCGTAGAATAAGTGTGCAAATTTTGATTTTTTTTTTTTTACTTCTTCAATTTATATAAACGATTGACATTATAACAATTCAAGTCCACCGTTAGCAGATATTGTCCGCTTTGTCTTGTTACGTAGTGTCGTGAGCCTCACGGTTTTAAAACGTGTATGCTAGGAAAACTGTCCTAAAAAGAAATGTTTCGTTTCCCTTTCCCATTGATGTGAGATCTCACAATCAACCTCCTTAGGGGGTCCAACGTTCTCACTGGTACACCGCCCGATGTCTGACTCTTATACCATTTGTGAGATCCGATATGAGTTGGAAAGAGAAACAAAACATTCCTTATAAACATTCCTTATAAGTAGGTAGATACCTATCTGCAACAGACGTGTTATAAAGCCGTGAGGCTAACAACAATATGTAACAGGTCAAAGCAGACAATATCTGCTAGTTGTAACAGGTCAAAGCAGACAATATCTGCTAGCGGTGAGCTTAAGTTATTATAAAATTTCGTTCACACACCAGCCGTTTATGCACGTCATGATTCATAACCACACACGAATACAACTAACAATCCACGAACCTCGTAAGATAAAATTGGAGTGGCAAAATCAAATCAAAACGGACTTTGACAGAGTGGAAGATTAAAAATACCATATGCGGCACAACACGGAAAACACAAGCCGGAACACTCCAAAGAGGAAGAACAGATGATTCCCCAATCGGTATTTCCCGACGGTAAGAATCAGAATCTTCAATTTGTGGCAACATTAAGAACAACCTCCCATTTTCGAAACAGCTGGTAGCAAGCCTACAAGTGAATTCTCTCTCATTTTACACTTGAAAAGATGGCCCTCTCCCTTTCCTTCTCGACGAGCATCCACTGCCCATCTTCTCCGATTTGCAGATCAATTTCCTCTCTCAATCCATGCGTCGCTGTTCTTTTTAACGCCAGGAGAGATTACAATCCTGGATTTCCGCTAATTGGATCATTGCACACCAAATTGGCGAAAACCAGGGCTGCTTTGTCTGAAATTTCTTACCGCAAGCAGTACCCAAAAGTGGGTGCCAAATCCGTTGGACCCATTCCACCTGCCCAGCTAATTCAAGTCGTTGAGAAAGCTGCCAAGACTGGTGCCGAGGTTTGTGATGCGATGATGATATTTTATCCCTTGAAATGCTTTTAGTTCACTAGTTTTTTCTTCTTCCTTTACCCCCTTTTCGATTTCTTGTTTGTTTTATTTTGTTTGCTTTGAATAACTGTGGTATGATATTGCGATAAGTCATGATTATCAGATCACTCTGAAGTTTAACAATGCAAAATGTGGTGTGGAATTGTAGCTTCTGAAGTTATAATCAATATAAATTGTGGCACAGAGCAATAGGGTGTTTGTTGCAGTGATATTAGAAGTGGTTGTTTAGGGTCATTTGAAAGTTCTTCTATATCATTGTCTGAATTGTAGCTTCTGAAGTTTGCTCCACTATGGACAACTTATGAATATGGTTGCTACCTTTTGAGAAAAATTTGAGAAAAAGTTGCTTTTTGGCTTCTTTGTGTGAGTTTTGAGACCTTTACCTTGATATTCCCAGGTGGTGATGGATGCTGTTAATAAGCCTCGAAATATCGAATATAAAGGACTGACGGACTTAGTAACCGAGTAAGGATTCCCTGTGGAACTTTCAACTACTGCGCCATAAGTTTTATGCTTGATGTCATATCGAACGATAACATTGCAATATAGATTTCGTTTTGTGGTATGAAATGAAATTGTTTGTTGACAGAGGAGTCTCGTGCTCACGATTTTCTTGGATAAAAAAGAGATGGAGTAAAATATGTATACGTTCTTTTTCAGCTAAATGAGAAGTTAACATACAGAATGATTGGAGTGAAACCTATTCATGTTTGTAAAGCTATCGATGTACTAAATTGCTTCGTATCTTTCTTAAGAAAGTTTTGTATATATCGTATGTTCTTAATTAGCCCTATCCAAAGATGCTCAAGACTTGATCAGATATTGTTGTGGCCTGATGGTTGTTTTGGTCTTGACTTTATCCAATTGCTCCATTTGTTCCTTCACCTTTTGGAAATGTCAAAGTAAACCCTTGTCATGAGTTCTTTGCCTAAAAATTGTAGCACTTGATATGGCTCATTCAGAGGAACCCTCCCCTTAATTTTTGCAAACGGAAAGATCGAATATTTTTGGCTTACTCATAAATATCACACTAACCTTGTGACAATTTTGTGTTTCTTATTAGGATTCTGTTTTCATCATGTTTCTTGATTTACTTGCAGAACAGATAAAATGAGTGAGGCTGCTATTCTTGAAGTTGTTAGAAAGAATTTTAAAGATCACCTCATCCTTGGAGAAGAGGGAGGGGTTATAGGAGATTCGTCATCTGATTATCTTTGGTGCATTGATCCGTTAGGTTTGTATTTGCAACTCTGTCTTCGGTCTGAAAATGTAGAGTAAGTCATTTTTTTTTTCAGTGTTAGGAGATGAATCAACATCTTCATAATAAATTATCTGCTGCCTCCAAGATTAATCTGTACATCTTAATAATGTTTCTTTTATTTCTCTTTTGATAATGATTAGATACGGAGCTTACTCGCTCTTTTATGTTTGTTCAGATGGAACAACAAATTTTGCACATGGCTATCCTTCCTTTGCGGTATCTGTTGGAGTTTTATTTCGGGGAAGTCCTGCTGCTGCAGCCGTGGTATCACATCTGTATTTGCATTTCTCAAGCTGTTCTCTACTCATGGAAAAGTGAACAAAAAATTTGATCTGTAAAATTGGGTCGAGTTATTGATTATTCAAACAGATATTGAGTTTGTTTTTCTTCCCATAGGATAACCTGGTCTAAAATCATGAAACTTTGAAGCCTATCTTGTCTGTGATCTGAAATCATGCTTTCTAGAGATAAAAGGCAAAAAAACGATTGATGGACTAAAGAGAACAAACTAAACGGATTATCAGCTTTGAGATCAGTAATCAATCATCATATTTTCCTGGAAAATTAATATCTTTTTCTTTCTTGTATTCAAAATGATGAATCTACTGAATTATTTGGATAAGACAGCTGACTTGGACATGCTTGTTTTGTTTTTGTTATTTTTTCCTTCATATTTCTTATATTTTTGTAAGGTGTCGCTTCCGTAACGAATGTCCTTCTTCAGGTAGAGTTCGTTGGAGGCCCTATGTGTTGGAACACTCGCATATTTACTGCAACTGCTGGTATAGTTTTTATAAATTTTTGTTTAAAATATAGTTTTGGTTCCTAAAGTTTATCCCTATTTCTTATTTGGTGCTTAAAGTTTAATTGGTTCTATATTAGTCCCTGAAGTTATAATAAGATCCAAATTCAATCCTTATCCTTAAAATCTGATTAAGGAACTAATGAAAAGAATAACATGATTTGTAGTGTTATGTAACAAATAAAAGATCAAAATCTCGTCCGAGACAAACTTGTCGGGACAGACCCTAGGATTAGATTAATAGACTATGGATGGGTCAAAACATCAAGTAAAGTTCTCCAAGGGTGGTTTGATTTGAGCTTGATAGAACCTAGACAGTTAAAATATATTGAAAGATGAAGGATGGAAAAAATAAAATAACTCCCAAGGAATTCAAGCCTCGAACCCTCCCTCTCTTTGAGTATTCTTACTCGAGCTAAATTCATTAAATAGTTGCCTAGTATCATACTTCCCCACTCACTCTATTTATAACAAATCACTCACTTCTTTACTAATTACTAACAAACCCTTAATTCCACAATAGGGTTCATAATTGTTTCCTAATAGCATTCTTATATGAGTTTTCATTGATTGCATGGTTGGACGCTATGTAATAGTAGTATATATTTGGGTATAAGAAAAGAAAAATCTCTCATTTGGCTCCTTCCATGCAAGACGACGAGAATCATATGGTTTACAATGATGTTGATTATTTTTTTTACATATATTTAGTTGTTCACGTTCTTTTTATCCATGAATCTTGCATGCATCTCAACTATTCTCACGAGGCATTACTATATTTGGTTGCTAACTCCTAGGATTCAATGAACCCGTTCCCTCTAAGCTCTTTATTATTTCATGTCCTTTATTGTTTAATAGTTCATGATCTATAGATGACAATGTGGGAATTTATTGCATTATTTGCAAACTTGAGGACTAAAATAGAACTTCTAAATTAGAAAGGGAGTAAATTTTAGGGTCTAAAACTATGTTGAACTTGTTTCTTTTTGGATTTCCGTACTATTAGTAAGTTCATTGACATTTGTTATGTTAGGTGGGGGAGCATTCTGTAATGGCCAAAAGATTCACGTGAGTCAAACTAGCCAGGTGAGTTTGTTATCTCGAAATGATTTGGAAACAACCACGTTTGTTGGCGTTTCCATTGTCCTCGAAGTCCCATTGCATTGGACATATTTGTTTGCTTTGTTAGTGAACTTTTTTTTTGGGAACTCTTATTTAAACTTTTATGCTTATCTTCTCCCAACAAAAATAATCTGTCGTACATTTAGAAGACCGTACCATTACAGCACACATGTTAGCAGTTTCTTACTACACGTTTTCCTTGAAGATCATGCTAAAGTAGTATATTGTCTGCCGAGGGAAATTGTAACACTCACATATTGTGTTAACGATTTTGTTTTCTTCCAAGCATTTGATTTACTATTTGACATCCATGTTTATGAAATTTGACTGAACTTGCACATTTACAGAAACTAAAGAAAGTTTGATACTCATGACACCTACAACTTTTGTTTTTAAGTTCATCAGTAAAGTGTCATTATATTTAATACAGGGGTTAGCTTTGTTTGATGGCTTAACAGTATTTTCTACTTACTTAGGTGGAACGATCTCTTCTAGTTACCGGATTTGGATATGAACATGACGATCCATGGTCTACAAATATGGATTTATTTAAAGAATTCACAGATGTCAGCAGGGTACTCTTTTTATCTTCTACTGGTTAGCTATATTGATGAACCGTGATCAGCTGGGTCTCCTTATAACAGGATGAAAGTTTAACTAGGAAATATAACTCTATTTACCTATTTACTAATTTTTGTCTATCGACTTTTCAATGTGCAGGGAGTGAGAAGGCTCGGTGCAGCAGCAGTCGACATGAGCCATGTAGCTCTAGGAATTGTAGAAGCATATTGGGAGTATCGCCTGAAGCCATGGGATATGGCTGCAGGTGTTTTGGTACTGCTCTGGTTTTCTTATTATGCAGTACTTTTTGGGACTTTAAATTGAACATATGAATAGGTAAACGAACGTTATTTTAGTAGGAATGATTGAGGTGCCTTGTGAATTGGAAATAGAGGAATACAGAGTTTGGTTAAAAATTTGTTAACGTGGTATGTAACAGCCCAAGCCTACTGCTGGTAGATATTGTCCTGTTTGGGCTTTCCGTTTTGGGCTTCTCCTCAAGGTTTTTAAAACGCGTCTACTAGGGAGAGGTTTCCACACCCTTATAAAGAATGTTTCGTTTTCCTCCCCAACTAATATGGGATCTCACATGGTAAGAGACTTTGACCAACCTAAATATAACGTAACTGGTTAAGACATGTAACCTTGACCTCAGAGATTCAAATTCTTACCTCTATCGATTGTTGAACTTAAAAAAGTTAAAACAAACTCTAGTTTTATTTATTTATTATTATTTTCAATCGATGGGAAATCCTTGTTTTGAAATTTTGGGTTGCTGTTTTTTGTTATCTTCTTTGATCTATGCAGTCATTTGTTCATAATAAATCGTGCTTCTTGTTTCGTTTTGAACTATAATGGTTAATATCATTTTGTTTCTATGTTTGAACTTGATATTAGCTTCTCAAACTCTTTCTTATTGAAGTCGAGTGAAGAAACTCATGGAAACTGGAATTAGACTACGACTTTTATGTTATTATTGAGCCAATTGTTTCTTGCAGTTAGTCGAAGAAGCGGGCGGAGCAGTGACTCGCATGGATGGTGAAAAGTTCAGTGTATTTGATAGATCTGTTTTGGTCTCTAATGGTATCGTACATGACAAGGTAATGTTCCCAATCCTATCTTCTGTTTCAAGCTCTGATATTGGCCTTATCACAATCACTCAAGTTTTCTATTGTTACAGCTACAAATTGTATATCCTTCTTTAATACCAACATTCATCTTAAATTGTCATTAGACCAAAAAACTTAGGTTGTTTATTCATATTAGGATAAAATGACTCAAACACGGATACCATGTTAATAGGTTGCTCGTAGAGTATGGGAAATTCGAACCTTTAAACCTCTTGGAATGACATATCCTAAAAAACTTGGTTTAAAAAAACCACGAAATCTTTGACTAGAGATAGTCATTTCGAAGCTTCTATTTAATACTCGGTCTCCTATTCTCTTCTATAAATGTCATAAGAAACATTTAAGATGATAGTTTTGGTATAATCTAGTTCTTCTTCATGCTTGGCGTAATGGATGTGTACTTGCTTATGAACATCTATAGGATAACTTAGTTTCAAGTTCTTATGAATTGCAGCTTTTGGAGAAAATTGGTTCTGCAACAGAGAAACTAAAAGGCAAAGGAATTGATTTCTCATTGTGGTATAAGCCAGAGAACTACCAGACAGATCTTTGAGCTGTGCCTCTCAGTATGAGTATCCAAGAAACTGTTGTAAGTTCACTCGATCCTGGCATCATTTTCTTTCTTCAGCTTGCATATGGTACCCTTCCATTGCTTTTGCTGGCTGTGAATTGACTGATTCTCTTGAATAAAAGCATAGATCAAGGTCTTCTTTGAGTAATCTCACAGTTTTATTTCATAATTAAAAAAAGTTCGAATAAAATTTTGGATGAGAAAACCGCTGTTACATATATGTCATGATGGCTTGTACTTGTTAACGTACCCCTAGGCTTGAGTATGAATTGACATACACTCACGCTGCTGAAAATCAATGGAAAGGAAAGAAGTGCCTATAATAATATAGTATACCCGTTTGTATGTAACATGCTAGAGGAGGTAACTTGTACTCGAGTGATATTCGACATGCATGAGGGTTCGTTTTAAGATTCATGGTTCAATGAGATGATTCACATTATACTTGTATACTTATTATGACATAAATTTCCTATGAGGCGTACTTAAGTTTTCAGGGTATTTTATTTGTGCTTATCTACATCATGGTATCTCAATGACATAAAAGCGATCATATTAACTTAGCAAAAAAATTATTAGAATATAATTAGTAATCACACATAAGCATCAATTAATTCATCCAACCTAGTCTATATACATTCCAATGGTAAGTTTATTAATTGTTTTAGTCGCTGATCACTTATAAGTTTGGTTCAAAAAATCAATCTTAAAGAGGACAATATTTGTCCGTGGTAGGCTTGGATCGTTACAAATAATATTAGAGCCAGATACCAAGCGATGTGCTAGCGAGGACGCTGAGCCTCAAAGAGGGATGGACACGAGGTGGTGTATCAATAAGGACGCTGGCCCTGAGAGTGGATTGTGAGATCCCACATCAGTTGATGAGGAGAACAAAACATTTTTTAAAAGAATATGGAAACCTCTCTCTAGTAGACACGTTTTAAAAACTATGAGAAGAAGCTCGAAAAGGAAAACCCAAAGAGGACAATATCTGTTAGTAGTGGGCTGACATAATGACTCCCACGACGAGGCTTTGAAACATGAGTCTAACGATCTCCTTCACACGGTTCTCCGTATACTACTTCTCGAGTTGCTCGGCAGCCCTAGGAGATGCGGTCGTGAAGGAATGCCTCTTGGTTGACCATCTTATTGCATTGCTCCATCTCCGGCAGGCTTTCGAACTTAGAGACAACCCTCTAGAGCCCCACGGCGGAGGGCCAGAGGTCAGGTTAGGAATTGAAGGGGCTAAAGATCATAGCAGTTTCACCTTCTTTCTCAAAAATTAAGAAATGGGTTTTGGTGTGTTGTGTATTGACAGCTTCAGATGAAACTTAATTAATCGAATTCTTATCACCTTGGTTGTATTTTAATTCCCCATATATTAATTCTTTTACAATTACGAAAGCACGTTCCATCGGCATGAACATGTTACATGTGATTGCATTTTTTGATTCCGACACTGGAATCATTTATTGTGTATTTTTAAATACTAAGCAAAGACCCCATGTACGAATGACGATGCTAGATGAGGTCACGCCAGATAATTTTTCGTATTTATGCTATAGTTCCACTGTTAAGATAGTTTAATCGTAATTTCATCTTTGAACCTTGATACGGGAAGTTTTCTTTACTACTTCAATTATATTTTTACCGTGTTTGCACGTTTTTTTTTTTAATTCATGACAATTTTTAAACATAAAATGTATGCATGTAGTAGCGATATTGTTTTCATCAGTTTTGTTACAATTAAGTCATAGAGAAAGAAAATGGAAGATCTTACCCGTATTAAATGGTCGGTTCCCAGCGGATATAATATTATAACAAAACATATATTTCATTTATAAAGTAATTCTCGAATATATTATGAAATCATAATATCTAATACATGGTATGTTGTTAGATATATTTATGTACAAAGAAACATTAAGTCGAAATTGAAAGATTAAGAATTTATTGAATACTTAACAAAATTTAGGAATTAGAATTATTGAAGGAATTAGGCGAACGTTTTTAATAGGGTGAAGCGCTTTGACATAAATGGTAACAAATTCGAGGGACGAAAGCAAGCTAATTTGGAATTAGACAGAACTTCGGCTAAGGTCATTCAAGTAAGTAGTGTTACTATCAGTTCAGTTAAAATGGATGTTGTGTGATGACACTTGTCTCGTGGTTTTGCATGTGTCATATGCTGGACGTGTGTGAAATATTTATGAAACGATATGACTATGATATGTTACGTAAACGTTATGATATGTAAATGTTATGATATACGATGCGTTTTATGATATATTTGAGATATGATACAAGAATGATAAGATATATGTTATGATATGATATGTGGATGGTACGATATGTGAATGATATGTTGTGTTTTATGATATAATCAAGGTATGATACGTGAAGATAAAATATAGTACGGACATGATTATTATGTTTATCATAATGCCGACGGTCGCTATTCCTAATGGGTGTCTGACATCAACAACTACTAGAGAATGCTCGTCCAACAAGAAAGAGGTCTAGGAGGTGTGCGAATCGACTTGTGAGTTTATACTCGCACGTGTAGACCGTGTGTAGATTAATAAATACACATCCAATCAGCTCGGATAGCTGCCTAACGAATATAGACTGATATGATAGGTCTCACTCATGATTGTACGAGTTTGCATCTAACCCCAACAGTGTGGTCACTTACATGCTACTTCTATTTCAAGTAAGGGCAAGACATCACTGTACATTAATAACGACATCGCAACTAGAGACCATGACACATGCATATGGTAGTTGCATTTATTTTCTTAAACTTACGTTAAAATATGATGTTCTTTTATTTAAATGTTTATTTATTTCGTTGTGTCATTTTAAAGATGTTTTCGAACACGTAAGTACGTAATAGTGTTCTAAGATGAACTTTATGTCTTACGAAGAAGTTCAAACGTTTATTTGCGCAAAGAAATGATCACGCTATGATGATCGTAGCGACTCAGGTAGGTAGAAATCTAGGGTCGTTACAAAAAATGTAAGAACATAAACCCGTACAACCCAATTAACACCCGATCAATTATTTATTGACGAAGAGAGACGAGAAAAGGTTCTTCACCCTCTTCGAGTTTAAACCCTAAAAAAACATTGTGAATCTAAGCTTAAAAATTTAAAGACCAACCCCAACACAATTCCTTTTCAAGGAGAGCCATTGTTTGACCAAAATGCACCATGGTTATCATCATTTGGAAGTTGAATCACATCATCCCAAATCTTGAATCCCATTTGATCATCATAGGCTCCATGACTCATCATCTCCATGAACCACGACGGCTCGACCGCCGACCCAACCGGCGGTTCGGTCATAGTTGTCGTAAGCAACTCAATCCTCTTACAAACATCAGTCATTGTCTCATCAACAAACCAAACGAGATCATACAAATCAATGATATTGAGATCTCGTGGCGGAGTCGCTCCAGCCACGAGGCTTTCAAACATGAGTCTTGTGATCTCCTTCTCACGATTCTCCCTTTGCAACTTCTTGAGTTGGTCAGTCGCTTTAGCTATGCGGTCACGGAGGAAGGTCTCTTGGTTCACCATCTTATTGCATTGCTCCATCTCCGAAAGACTTTTGAACTTAGCGAGAACCCTCTCGAGCCCGACGACAGAGGGCCAGAGATCGGGTTGAGAATTGAAGGGACTGAAAATTATGGCGCACGCCTCGATACCGCAAAGTGTGGTGAGCTCGGTGAGCTTCTTCATTAAGCCCTTCTTCCTCTTCTTGAATGTGGCTTTTCTTGCTGCATCATTTGTTATGTATGTCAGCTTCACCTTCTTTCTTGTCATGGCACCAAAAATTGAGACAATGGGCTTCGCATTTGTGTTGCTACTTATACTCAATTAAGGCTCCAAAATAACGTTTAAAATATATTATTTTCAAGGTTACACGACTAAATGATTTAGTGTTAACTTTGAAGTAGAAATTCATCGAGAACGAAAAAAAATTGAGACTTGAAATGACGTGACAGTGATCTGAAATAGAAATTGAGATTCGAACATCATAACACAGTTTTGGGTCATTGTTACACTCATTTCAGATCTCAATTTTAGTACGAAATCCTCATAAATTATTATTTCGGAGTAATTTTCGAAAGATTTATGGAAGGTTAAAACTAGGGGTTCAAAAATCCGATAACTCAGAAAATTCGATCAACCCAACCCAACCCATACGATTTGGGTTGGAATAGGTTCAAGTAACTTAAAAATTGGGTTGAATAGAATCGACTCGAATTTATTGTTAATTTTAAAATATACATTTGAGTTACAGTATAATTATATATATATATATATATATATATATATATATATATATATTAATTTTATCTAATTTCATAATTATTTTTTTTTATTTTTTATTCTTCAACCATTCTTAAAAATAACTAATTTTTTAAAAATGTATATTAAAATCGAACTAAAATTTTATTTTTATTAAAACCAAAAATGTAAATTTAAACCATTAAAACTCAATATTTATGTGTTTTATGGGGTATTTAATTCAAGGTAATATATATATATATATATATATATATATATATATATATATATATATATATATATAAAAGGGTGCATAAATTATATACTAAGGTAATTTCAGGTAATTTCATGAAATGACAGCTTAATTAAATTGAGGCTTTTTTTAGTAATGATATTAAAAGGATTTAATTGGAAAATTTTGGTTATCATTTTGACAACTTATAATCATTTAAATTTTAATTACATGTAACACGAATTCTTATCACCTTTGGTTGTATTTTTATTTTCCGTCTTAAATGGTTAATTATTTGTTGTCAATGACACATAACATGCCATTTTTTATTTATATTTAAATAAAAATAATTAACGCGTTATAAAAATCTTAGGTTATATTATTGTACAAGATTTGATGTTACCAAAATTAATAAATTTAGGAATAATTATTTAAAATTTCAAATGAATATTTTAGTCTATTTTTATATTTTCTTTGGAATTTTGATTATTTTTAATCTAATTGAAGTTGGAAAAATATTATTTTAATCTGTACCATTAAGATTTTGGATGTTTTATGTACGCCAAAATTGGACATATTTTTATTATTTGGAATAATGTGATATAAAAATATATTAATTTTATATTTATCAAGTGATGATATCACAATAAAATAGTTATTATTATTTTTTAATTTTGATCGGTGTTTACATGGCTCGACCATTAACTTGGACTAACCCAAACCAAACTAAAAGGTTAGATTGAGTTAGATTTTTTTTTCTCGGTTTGGGTTGGGTTATTTTTTGAAATACTGAAAATTTAGGTCAGTTTACGTGCGGACATTTTTGGTCGGGTTAACCCAATCAACTCGAAAATAGGGTTACAATCGAACCTAACCCTACTTTGTTTTTAAGATTATTATGAAAATTAAGAATATGAGTGCTACGTTGTAACTTGTAAATCTTTGATATTTGAATTTTATGAGATTTTAGTTAGTACTGTACAACCCAATTGAATAAAAGAATAGAGAATTGGGTTGTGAACGCTATTTAGGTTGTTCGAGTCACCAACTCAGAGATGAATTGAAATAGCTTTAGGTAATCCTCGAGGAAGGGAAGTTAGAGAGATATCGGTTGAGGGAGAGGAAGAGGTAAAAGAAGGGGTAGTGAAACTTTAGTACCGAGAAGGATCGAGAGGAAGTACCAATGTGAGAGAGAAGAAGAAAGAGGAGTCGGGGGAATAAAGCTTACAAAGGAATGAAGACCTTTATGAATAGAGCATGCATTGATGAAGACACTGATGAAAAATATATAAAGTTGAAATCTCAGTGACGTGTTGTTACCATGCTTGCTGGAGATATATATTACTTGGTCGACCTTGACGATTTGATATGAATGTCATGTTTGATGGTTACTTCAATGTGTATTCTGTTCGTTTCTAAACTCATGATTCAAATCACTCCACAAGAGATTTGATCAATACGACTTGAATGACTCTAGCATGCATGTTCTAAACATAAGAATTTCCAGAATAAAAATTTAGCTCTCAATAAATCTAAAATAGAAACTCTATTCTTTTTCACTTCGAAAATATGACATCTACGGTGAAAGAAAAGAACGCTTTATATACCCATCTTTTGGGGACAATGGAATAGTATCAATTTACATACCTATCATACATAACCCGACCATGTAATTGTCAAGGCCTCCCCAGTGTCCTACCCTCGATAAATCTTGCATTACGGTAATCTCTACTACAGTGTCCTACCCTCGATATCATATAAGGTTGTAAACCAGTCTCGTCTGCAATCCCCGTGTTTAACCCTAAAGAAATTGTGTCATGAGAGCCTCCATGTTCTCAATGAGATCAAGTTGATCCATCACCTTGTAATAATCCTCCACGAACTTGCTTCCTTGTTTCAATGCTTGAAGCTTTTGCGTCATGTCCCGTTGAAAATATTGTGGAACAAAACGCTTCCTCATGGCCTCTTTGAACTCGTACCATGAATTAATTGGTGCTTCTAGATTTCTTCTCCTACTTGACGTCAATTTACCGAACCAAATTTGAGCATATTGTTTGAATTGAACGATGCATAACATTACCTTCTTTTTATCACTAAGATTATGACAATTGAATACTGACTCCACCATTTTCTCTCATTCAAGCTACTCCTCAGGATCGATTTTTTCGTACAACTTTGGAAGTTTTAATTTGATGCTCTTCACATTACGATAAATTCTATCTTCATAAGGAACTCATTGTTGAAAATTATGATACCTTCTCCCACGACCTCTCCCTCTCCCTCGCATCAAGGCACGACCAACCGCATCAATTGATCTACACGTTGTGCTAGTGGTGGAATTCTCTCTCGAGCTTCATTTTGGAATTCCTATTTTCGAGAGAGAGAGAGAGAGGACATCACGAGCACTCCCTCAAGTGTGTTCACTCGTTAATGTAGCTCACTTCCACTTAGCACTCAACACTCGAATCAATGTATTACTCCTTTACAAATTCACCCTCACAGTTGAGCACCTACAAATCGTGCAATTCAAAGTGATTAGACAGCACACCCAACACACAAACAAGGGTATTAAAAGAGCAATCCGACTAACAACAAAGAAATGAGTTAAAGAAAGAAGATGAATAAGGACATTTAATTTAGCTGTTGTAACATATGAGAGTTACATATAATAACAAGAACACAAAAAAAGACATTGAACATCAATAAGTTTCTTTCTTTCTTTTTTGAACTGAATGTCAAAATCCAATCTAACACTTTATAGAATAGATCAACATGAATTAAAAAACAGAGAATGTTTTTTTTTTAGTATATATATATATTTTAGACTGAACATGAACGTGCTATACAAACTCAAAAAAAAAAAATTAAAAGAGATAAACTCAAGGAAACATATGTTCGACCGAATAGCCTGATGCTCTAATACCGAAGGTTATGGAATCAACCCATGGACAAGTTTTGAAATGGATTACTTTGGTGATCAAGATTGGGAGTAAAGAAAACTCGTTTCTAAACTCGTGATTCGAATCACTACACAAAAGGTTTGATCAATACGACTTGAATGATTCTACCAAATTCTAAACAAATTTCTTTGATTTAAACATGGACCGGTACAAAACTATTATTGGGTCATATGCGTTCAGAGTTTGTTCGGGGAAATACTATAAATACTCACAAACTAATTTATCTCTTGATTGATCTGAATTTTGTATAAGAAGTGTTAATTTCTTTGAATCCAGCGTTCTTGCTTTTGTGAGCTGAAATTCTTTCATTATTCTAAGAGTCTCCAACTCGCCAAAATACTAAATCTAGTGCAGATTGAATTAAATTCTAAATTGTCATCTAGTGACGGATACTCGATGTCATTTACATGTGATGTGATTTTTTTTTTTTTTTTTTTTTTTTTGTTAAGGAACGATATCAGCTACAATCACCATCCATATCACCATCCATTCAGTATACAATGTGATCGACTAGCAACAGACATTATTTCAATCCATCATTATACGTGTATGTTGACACTGAGAATAATTTCGATTTTGAACGGGTTTTGATGTCGGTTGAAAACTGCTATTGTATGTTTACGATGACACTAAATTTGATATCAGCTAGAAATTGACGTTAGAGAATTAAAAAGGGACGATTTTCACACCAATATTTATCATATTTAATGATATAGAAGCCAAATCATTCAATTACTCCATAATACATCATCAACTTTCTTAATAATTCAATTATTCCCCACTCCAAAACCTAAATAAACCAATACAAAATCAAATTTTTTTTTTTTTTTTTAACAAAATAAAAAAAAAAAAAAAAAAAAAANTTTTTTTTTTTTTTAAAAAAAAAAAAAAAAAAAAAAAAAAAAAAAACAGCACATAAATTAAACTAGTTGACCCATGCACAAAGCTGAGATCATACATTCCCCAATAATGGCCTTTTCCATCTCATCTCTATTATGCTGCTTCCTTTTCTTCAAAGGGTACCTCTTTCTCCGCCTCTGGTTCGGCGTCGTCCTCGGCCTTGGCCGGTGCTGCAGCCTCGGGTTCGGCATCGTCCTCAGCCTTGGCCGGAGCTGCAGCCTCGGGTTCGGCATCGTCCTCGGCCTTGGCAGGTGCTGCAGCCTCCTCAGGCTCAGCCATTGGTTCGGCATCATCCTCGGCCTTGGCGGGTGCTGCAGCCTCCTCAGCCTCGGGTTCTGCATCGTCCTCAGCTTTGGCAGGTACTGCAGCCTCCTCAGCCTCGGGTTCGGCATCATCCTCAGCCTTGGCGGGTGCTGCAGCCTCCTCAGCCTCAGCCTCTGGCTCGGCATCGTCCTCGGCCTTGGCGGGTGCTGCAGCCTCTGGCTCGGCATCGTCCTCAGCCTTGGCGGGTGCTGCAGCCTCCTCAGGCTCAGCCTCAGGCTCGGCATCATCCTCAGCTTTGGCGGGTGCTGCAGCCTCCTCAGGCTCAGCCTCAGGCTCGGCATCGTCCTCGGCCTTGGCGGGTGCTGCAGCCTCCTCCGCCTTGGGTTCAGCATCGTCCTCGGCCTTGGCGGGTGCTGCAAACTCCTCAGCCTCTGCCTTCACCACCTCCGGCAAAGGTGTAGCTGCTGATTCAACCTACAAAACCCAATTGCTATAATATTCAACAAATTTATTAAAAAAAAAAAAAACATGGTTTCACTTGCATGTCCCATGAACAAGAGTAAAGTGACCAAATTACCCCCCAAAAAAAAATCAAAATTCAAAAACTAAAACACAAAATTCTGATTAAAATGAACACAAAACCCTCCCTTTTGAGATGGGTATCCAATTTTTTCAAATGGGTACCCAAATTATCACTACTTTCCTCCAAACACGCTTAATTATAAAATTTTGACACGCTTAATTATGAAATTTTGACGGAATCTCATGTATCAACACTAACACGATCATTCAAAAATACTTAATTATAAAATTTTAATAGAATCTGATGCATTAACACTAATACGATCGCCAAAGCTCAAGTTGGGTCGATCACGAAAGGGACTGGGACGAGATTTTTCTTACAAAACTTTGGAAGAGAGAGAAAGAAGAGAGAGAAAAAGGGTTACCTCAATAGTGGCCATTAGAGAAGAATTGAGAGAGAGAGAGATGTTAGAGAGATGAGGAAATATGAATGGGAGAGAGAGGTATTTATAGGATAGAGAGAGAGAGAAAGAGAATGTTAGGCAAAATATAAGGACATCGGTTTTGTCCAGTTGTAAATGTTTTCCCTTTTTCAATTATTAATTTACTTTTTTATTATTATTATTATTAATCTTTTTACAAAAATAAAATAAAATAAAATAACATATCTTTTCTTTTCAGTTGGTTTGCGTCTGTTTTGTTCTAATAATTTATAATTCTCTTTCTTTTTGCATGCAATTTCCGCCGCCCTCTTTCCCTTATGCCCCCCTCTATTTTTCCCTTTGCTGTTTGGTCCTTCTCTTTTAATATTATTCATTTTAATTCCTATCTCTACTTTTCATTCAGGTCCCTACAATTATAATAAATAACATTTTGGTCCTTTCATTTTTCATTTTTATCTCATTTACATAATTTAAATAATATTTAATACCCTTCCCAATTTAACTCTATATTTTCAAGTTATTTTTTTAATTATTTTAAAACATCATATTTATTTATAATATATATTACATTAATAATTATCCTCTCGTGAAGTTTATATATTAGATATTTATAGGATTAGATTTTATTATAATCCTACTTTTTCAACCGCACGGTGTCGTGATCTTGATACACTCACGACTAGCCTTAAGGGAGATTATGCCCCATATATATTTTTCACCCCGGCTTTGCGGCTTCATTAAACCATAGGTGAGGTTTGTATTTGTCAATCGAATATCGCTTGTACGGAATTCAAGCTTGTCCGACCACACACGTCGTCTGCGCGTGCATGTTTAATCGTTTACGACACAACTGATTTGTCTATACACTAGGTTAAGTGATTCGGTTCGATCTCGCCTCTGCTCGAGCCAAAGTCTTTCAATGCACTATTGCGTCTCATCTTGTCTCCATCAATATGGCCCATATGTCTCAACGACACCCCGAGTTGAGAGAACTTGATGTTAAAAAAAAAAAAAAAAAAAAAATCCTATTCCGTCTCGGTCTTTGACCCGTGAACATCTGGAATGGGAACGACCAATAGCAACCCAATGTAGATCTTGGCTTGTGGGTCCCGTAGACCTGTCTGCTGACGTGGCGTTATTATTATTCAAATTTTTTTTAGTTTGCCAACTTGGTAATTTTTTCACGTGGGGTAGAGAGGAAAGCCGACTCCATTTCATGTAGGGGGGACCACATGTAGCTGTCTGCCAGATCGGATGCTGGTGTCATGGGACCCACATAGCCGCCCCTCTACTGTGCCACGTCAGATCTCAGTCATCGGTTTGATCCGTGACCACGATCCCATAATAAAATAAATAAAATGGGATTATTATAAGAGATTCTTCATTAAAATATCCGCAATTATTAAAATTAATTTATATATTTTATAAGAATTTTATTTATTAATCACAATATATAAATAAATAAATTTAAGATCTGGAAAGTGAAAATAACTTAATTATTAATTTAAATAATTTTTATCCATTTTATTTATAAGAAATTGAAATATCCACAAATTAGAAATATTTTATTAAATTTGAATTTCCAGCTCAACTTAATTTTAATCCATACTTTTTTCTACTAAACTGAGCATAAATCTACCTGTTCTTAGTACAAAAAAGAAAACATAGGAACGGATCGATATATTTCTCGAAAAAAAAAAAAAAAAGACAATATAAATGAAGGATCAATTAACCAAACCCTGTTCGGGATTTGCTTGGAAACAAATAAATATATTTTATATTAAAAAAATTTAAAGAAAAAATTGATAGAAAAAAGGAAGAATAATTAATTCTAAAAGTCAAAAGAAATATAAATATATATTTTTGAGTAAATTTATAGCATCAGTATAAAAATATATTAAAATCGGTTATATTGAGTTGATAGAAATAGTTATTTTGGAAAGAAAGAATTACAACAAGAATAATAAAAATGATTTGGAAAGGGACATTTTATTAAATATGCATTTTTAAAAATGTAGATTCAAATCCTTTAGTTTTTTTTTTGTCTACAGAATACTGATGTCAGCTATTTGGAACAGGTTTGGATGTATTTTTAAATTTTATTTCATAAAATTCTCTTTTAAAACCCTTTCCTTTTATATTTTTAAAAATTCAAACCTCAAACTTAAATAAATATTTATTGATTTTGATCCTATTACAATTTTTAATTCAGCCCATAAAATTTGAATGAAAGTATCGTAGTCAAATCATCATGTTGTTATCAAATGAGTAATATATAATTTAAGGACAAGTTATGAACTTTAACTACTAATCGTAGATAAAATCGAAATGCACGCTTGTGAGAGAATTGAATGAACGATTATTTTAAACTCATAAAATGCTTGTTTCTATGTGAAAGGAAATAAACCATCTTTGAATTATTGCAAGAAATATTTGTGTGTTTAAGGTGATATGTTCTTCGTAACCAAGCTACAAATATATTTTTGTAAGAACTGGAGCAGGGATTTATTCTTGAAATCAATATCGATTCCTAAATCAAAGAAAAAGTGATAGAATCAATACATTGAGACATGATTTAAGATCAAAAAATGTTTGGTATAATGGAAAAATGCAATAAAAAGGAGAAGAAAAATAAAAAAAGTGATGTTCATAATGATGGGCACACCTTGTTGTACCTGAATAAACCATAACATATCATCCCACATGACAGACTGGCTGGAAGCAGGTGGTGAGTTGCTTTCATGATGCCGCCTTGTTGTCCATGTTGGATTAGCAAATGTTGTGGTCGGGTTCCAATAAGAATCGAGACTCCTTTGGGATCATCAATCATGTTGTGTTGCCTTTAATGGCTTTAGAGGAGAAAAAGAAAAGCAATTGGAAGCTGGTGATCTTGGGGGACACTACTAAAACATTGTGTAATGAATGACCTGACCTGACCCCCACCTCCTCCTATCTCGCTCCTTTTGAATTCTGCCAAATGAAAGGCAATAACTGAAGGAACATGGTTGGGCCACTAGAAAGAGTATGCTTTCCCTGGGAAGAACACTATGGAGGGAGGGATTGTTGAATCAAGTGTTCAATCAGAGAAGCTTTTACTAAAAGGTATATTAGCCACTGCTGTCCATGGGAAATTTCGCAGAAGGAATCTTCCTTTTCTCTTACTTTCACTATGAATAAAGCTTCTAACGATAGACATTTCTCGACATTTTGAGTGGGGAAATGGTGGGAAAGATTTTGTAGGTTCCCAGAAGCAATGAGTTCAGATTTCCAAATTCAGTCCAAATACAATCAGGGGATAAACTGAACTACATGGCCTGTAGTGCGTGTGTGCATTGACTCATACTCGGAGAGTAGTGTGCGTATGTGGGTGTTGACTCATACTCTGAGAGTAGTGTGCGTGTGCATTGACTCATACTCTGAGAGTAGTGTGCGTGTGAGTGTGCATGTGCTGACTTATACTCTAAGAGTAGTGTGCGTGTGCGGTGTGCAGGTGCGCGGGTGCGGGTGTGCGTGTGCGCGTGTGTGTGCGCACGTGTGTGCGGGTGTTAGAGAGAGACTTATATTCCCTCCAGCAAATTTCAACGTCATTATTGCATTCCATCTTTAAACGGTGTCCTTATAAGAATTGATTGTGCATGACTTGGAAAAATCCTATTAGTTGTCTAAAAATAATTTAGTGTTACAATATCCATGGTTGATAAAAACAGATTTCTATGTTTCACAATAATCTCAAAAAAAAAGTATCTAACTCGTAACAACCAGAGAAAATTTACTAGTAGAAGACCTGTGACAGAGAAACCGATCAGCTGATGATCTTTCTCAACACAGCTTCAGCGCGATGCTCAAACTTGGGTAAGACCCATTCATGCTGCACTATATCTAAGTTGTCTTTCTCGGCACTCAACCCCTGGCAATAAAATGCAATACCATTAAGATCAGCAGAAGAGTAGAGATTTTGAATAATGATCAATTCAAGGTTCACAAAGGTTATGTCGATCAATTATATTTCTTAAGTAAACAATTAAACTAAATATTAGAATAGAGATTTGTTAAAGAAGGACTACAAAGAACATCGAGTTGCGTTGGTCTAGGTTTACTTTGAAACAACGGCCTAAATGACCACTGGCCAGTAACGTACAAATGATTGACCCAATAAAGAAGTTGGCAAAGAAGGAATCACTGAGGCCCAGATTTTAAGAAATAAAGTATTTCCTAGAACCCTATAAAGTGAGCTGCTTAAAGTTGAAAATCAATTAGAACATCGAAGACAATTCGCACATCCCCACTGGTATAATCAATCAAATTTGATTGAAGCATCTGAGCAATTGCTGTGACAAAAAAGAATAACGAGGTTTCAGATGGAGCTTCGTTTACACCTCGGATGCAAGGACGTAACGAAATTTAAGATGAAACTAGCTTATATGGGTACATCAAGCAGGTAACATAGCGACAAATGAGCCTTAAATATAAAAGTAGAATAAGAGGAGAATGACGGGACCTACATTATACATTTTGAAACACTGCACCAACAAGATGTTTGTTTGCAAATAAAAAAATAAGCATTTTGTCAAGTTTTCAACTTCAGTGCTTTTCGGTGATATCATTTCCAAGTCAACGAGCAATAGGGAAGTCAGGATAACTAAAAGCTTGTCCAGTCTACAACCAGAAAGAAGTAGGGCTAATCACAAACAAAGGCCAAGAACCACCTGTATCTCCAATTCTGGCTTGAAATCTATAATGTTTATTTACCCCCATTTCAAAAGCAATACAATTTAGCATTTCAACCACAATTACATTTCCTTCCAGCCCCAAATGTTATCTTGATCCTCCAATTCATATCGTTTCATTCTCTCTGCCAGATTGTGCAAATCAAACTAGAAAAAAAAGAGACCAAAATGCAACTGGTGGTACTATATTCCAATATATATTTCTTGTCATAGTCAGTCATTCACCCACGACAGTATTCTACCACTTAAAAGAAAACCAGGCTTCTTCAGAACATACTACTTTTCCTAACAGATAAAATCCACGTCAAACTAGGAACCAATTGATTGAACAGCATATACATGTAGATAGCTGTAACACAAAACCAAGCACCAGGAAGGTCAGCAGGGAGTGCACCAGAAAATGTTTTTAATTGCTGATAGGATGGGCTCTTTCCAATAAAGAGATTCATGTCACGGGGAGTTTAAGATTTCATAATGAAATTTTGAAGGAATGAGTCATAAAGTTCGAAGGTTACAACTCTTGAAATACATGAAAGGTCATATACTTCAATAAGATTGTTGGATAGAATTCCCAAGAGTTGCAATCATTTGAAATGAAATCAACTTGATTTGGAGGTTTTGCATATCCATGAGGGTTTCGAGGGGATCCAATTGCCTAGGGTTACCATGTCATGGACCCTCCCCTCCTAAGATCACTCTCAAGGCCTAATTCACTCATCCCCCCACCCATTCACAACGAACAAGCATAACAAACTCCCTAACTAATTACTCATATACCCTTTAATATCCATAATTTCCTTCTTGTAGTATTCCTTTCACCCGCCTCTAGAACACACCCGAGGTGTGGGTAGAAACAAATATGAAAGGAAAAAAAAAATGCCAACTAGTTGAAAGTTAAAACTTAGTCTTGAAAACATTCTGGCGCAATGGGCCTCATCCAATTTCTTTAAATTCAGTCCATTCTGGAAATAGTTTTTCTAGCCCACGGTTCCACAATTCCAGATTTTTCTTCCACATACTTCATTTGATCATTTTCAAACCCACCATGCTTTCGTTGCTTTGTATTCCTTTGAAATTCAAAATAGGCCGCAACACGACTGCGAGCCTCATCAATTCATTTAAATGAAGCTGCAGGCCCCACTCACTTCCAGAACCTTCTTTCTTTTCGCAAGGCACTTAACCACTAGTAACAATCCTCATACCCACGTGCCCATCTCCACACAAATTGCTTTGGTGTCTTTCCCAAGTTTTCATCTCCATGCATGCCTGCACTCACTGCTGGTGACGGCCTACGTTAGGTACTTTTCTTCTTTTATTCTCCTTTTCTTCATGACCGCCAACCTCTGATTTCTCTGTGCCTCTTCACGATGCCTGGGTCAGCATCTCCCCCACCAATTCATTTTTTCCGACCATAACAGGCTTCATCGTCGACCATGGCTTCCATCAGTTTTTCATCTCCTTTTCTCCAGTTTCATCATGATGATCCACCTTCTTCAAACTTCGCAGCAGTTGAAGCATCGCCCTCTCCACAATTTCACCTCTTTCCACGAAACCATCAATGGTCGACCTCTCTTTGGAAAACAGACCTTTGTTGTGTTGGGTATCTTTGCAGCCCATTTGCGGGTCGTTTTCAAACTCGAAAAAAATTTAGGTTTGCCTCCCCTCTATCTCTTTTGTATGACCTCTCACTCATTATCATTTTTTGCATTTGCTTCATCTTACAACCTCAGACAATTTGCAATGCTCCTTCGCAGCCTCTAAGGATTTGACTGAAGATCTTTTTACTTAGCCCGATTATCTTGCTATTCCTTGTTTTTCTTCGGGCTTTCATACTATTTTTCCTACTCAATTTGTTTAGCCTCTGCTTTATTCTTTTCTACATCTGCAATATCCTCTCGAGTTTCCTTGAAAGATTGTGCAATTGCATCTCATAAAGCATCTTGCATACATTGGAATATCGAATCCATTTGCTCCATCAATAGATCTTTGAATCCCTACATTTCTTCACATAAAAATATCCCAATCTCTATACAAGTCTTTTCATCTAATTCCATAGCCATAGGCGAACTGCTCTATGCCAAATTGACCTGGTAACAGCACTAGGGAACCTCATGTACGACAACAATCTTCTCCTAGAGAGCTAGTGCAAGATTGAGCAGATACAAAAATGCTAATCAACCCAAGTTATCAGCTATCACATTGAAACTTGCAAGTTCAACCCTAAAGGGATCCTCACAAAATTAATGTACACAATCAAGACGATAGACTGCACAACCGTGCAAGATATCATGTATAAATACATAGTCAATACTCATTTAGAATGATACAGCAAACAACCATGAACACTGATAAACAGACTCAACAAAATCTATCCATTAACAATATGTACTCTGAGCCAAAATTTGAAACTGAACCACTAAAATATGTGCAGCTTCCTTCAAGCTTAGTTAATTTCACAGGTAGAAGAATAAGAAACAAATGTAACACAGCCAGCCATGCCAGTTTAGAAGATTTTAAACAAAAAAATGATGTGTCAGTTCAAATATATACATACACATGTACACAGGAGATCAAAACTGTTCAACCATGAAACTTGATTTGCATGCTAATGCAAACTTCCGTATATGAGTGTATGCATATGTAGATTTAAAGAGAGACAGAAACAGGGAGAGCTTTTTGAATAATGAATATGAATACTTTAAACATCCTTTGACAGCCTAAAAATGAAGAAAGATGTTTGAAATACCGGGTAGTAAAGACTAAATATTTACCTTTGTTGGGTCCATGCCAAAACCAGACATTTGCATCATTCTCTGTGTGTCATCCATTGCTGCACCAAGAATTGTTTTGTCATAAGTCACAGTATAAGATCTGGATCTTTCAAAATGCTACTTCTTGGGGAAAAAATCCATACACGCATCAGTTAAAGAATAAATGGAGTTGTTAAGCAGAAAAACCAACCATTTTCTTCTCCCAGAATGAGACTGAATAAACCTCTTAATCCAAACAAATTTAGAAAGTACCTGACATAAGTTACATAAAACTATCAGTGATAATCATCCAACCAAATGCTTAGGGAAAAACTTGACACAAAAAAAAAAAAAAAAAATCTTCAGATGACGGTAACACAGGCACCATAATATTTAATGGATCTTGGAAAGTACCATGATCGGCTACTGACATAGCTGACATCCACAGTACTCAAATCAATCCCATTTTGTAACATCGACCGGAACCTCTGAGTCAGTGGAAAGGGTATTTTTGCTAGATAAGGAGAGAAGATACGATTAGATGCCACAAATTGGAGGCTGAAAAGAAAAGTGATACTAACACAGGTAGAAAAATCAGCTTTCAGTGCACAAAAATAAGAAACCTGAAAACTTTTTCTACCAGTTATAACCAACTATCAGAAATGGAGGGGGGAAATGGCAGAGAAACAGAAAGATATAGTAAATAAGAGATCTAAATAATCGTACAAAGTTCCCATGTATTAAAAAACATAATTAGTGCTAGAACATACCATTTAACACCTAAAAAGTATGGAATTTATATAATCTAGATAACTTGGAGATTCACTCAACCAAAAAAAGTTACCCTCGGGCATTCAAAAGTATAGTAGTATGAAGAACATACCTGCTACAAATCCGGAGAAGAAAAAGTTGACCCACGCAAAAGTTAGGGTCTAGCAAAGAAGAAAGGATAAATAAAAATGTAAATTGAACTTCATATGATATCAGTGAAAAGAATAGTGATCGAATATGCAACTATAGTCACCTGAGGTATAATCATGGAGAGATTCTTCTTCATCATATCCATTGCCATGTTTGGATCCGAAAACATCTGTGCTTGTGCATTTTGGGCCTGGCCTTTGGGAACAAAGAGCAGTCCGTTCTCCTGCCAATTGCATATGTAGAATATCTAGGGTATCAGATTCTCTTTATCCTCCTGTGCTACTTTGAATATCATAGTTGCATCAAAATCATTCTACAAGATATACAATCTCACTGCAACCATCCTCACACATAGATTCCCATTGGCAGCACAATTTATGGCATCCTCACGTCACCATATTCAAGGATGCAATAAATCATACAAGTTACAACTGATAAAATCTTATGGACATTGCATAATACTCTATCTGTCAATCCAGGATTCTTCTCTAATAACTATAAGCTGCTTGTATCCCTTCGAGAAAATACGATTGGTATCTCATAAACTTTAACCTATTAAAGCTTCCTCTGATACCATCAAATGAATCTTGAGGAGACTCCTTATTGAATCAAATCTCAGATATCAAATACAGAGGAATTACAAGCTTTAACGAGGAGGAGTGTTAACTAATTTTCAACAAATTAAACAAATCAAGAAGACTAACAGATACACAACTTGACTAAACTGAATTTAACAAGCTAATAGAAACAAAGAGCTCTTATAACAGTTCTGACTGCACGTCATAACGCCAGTTGAATCTCGAAGCAGAAACTAAACCTTCTACACCATACGCATCATTCAAGTACAATGGACATCGAAAACGATTCCTCCAAAAAGGTTTAATGAATTAAATTTGGCACGCATCACATACTACATTGAAAAAAGAGGAAAACAAACCTCGTTGCCGTAATAAACTCTGCGGGATCGAAACGACTTCTGGGGAATAAAATTAGCAGCAGATCGTAAATTCCGAGCCCTAAGTACGATTTGCCTGAAATCCGGAATTAAAAAATGCGTCAAGAACTTACAAGATGAATAATGTACGAATTCTGAAGATTATGAATCTAAATTTACCCTTCTCGTACGACTTTGGCATCGGGGACTGGAGACGAGCGCATAAGCTTGGAGACAAAGTAGCGGAGAACTCCGATGAGAACCATGACCACGGAGAGCGGAATCAGCACCCAATCTCTGATGGCAGTGTCGAGAACTAGATCTTCCGCCATGACTGGATCCGATATGCGAGCTCCGTTGAGAATCGAACTACGAAGGCCAAGAGGGCTTCACAACTGGAATGTTTGATGTTTTGTCCGTCGCGGAAGGGAGAGGGTTAAGACTGTTGCAGAATTTATGAATTACTATTTAAATAGTAATATTTGAAAATTAACTAAGATTTAACGCATAAAAACTTGATTAACTTGATTGACTTAATTAACTTTTTTTTTTTAATATAATTATATATATCTATATTTATTTTATGCTTATTTAATTTAATATTTTATTATTATTATTATATATTGAAATCGAATTATAAATTTTAATTAGATCTTAAAAATGAGTATATTTTACAAATTACCATGGATCGAGGAATGATACTAAGGACAATGTTAAAGTGCATCAATTGTAGCACAAATAAGTCTACTGGGAAAGTGTTCTAACTCTAATTCAATTCGTATTCCTTAACAAATTTCTACATTGACACGTAACTCATCCTTCCCGTTCATTTCAGCCTTTAAGAGTGTTTTCGGAATCAACGAGAACGAGTACCTAATCTCCATTCCAACGCCCATTGGCTTGCATGGTAATGAATTTCTCGTTGCTCCTGTAATAGCATGGGTAGGTATCTCTGGTGGCAGTTTTTGCTCTGTTTCCTCGGCTGGTTTGTTCCCTTCTTCATTTTTTTTTTTTTTTTTTGGTACTCTTATACCGAACCCATTTGCTTTAACTTAGCGAGCTTCTCAACTTATTGCTTCGGATGGGAGATCCAAACTGCAATGCATTGGTTGACAAACACAGTCCACGTGGAATCCTTAATATCTTGTATCATCTATGAATACCATAGTTGAGCAATTCCCTTCGAGTGATGATAAGAGGCTAAACTCACCTTTTCTTCTTCGTGTGTCGATTGATGTCAGAAAAAATGTTGACAATGGCTAATCCAAACGAAGGGGTTTTCCAACCAATTGAAGCGAGGGAAGTCAAGTTTCATGAATTTGAGTATAATAAAGTTTCTTCCAGAATTTTCATGAAGTGTTGCTAGTAAATTCTCTTTCTCTCTCTTTGTTTTACTTACTTTTAGCATTTCAAAAATTCGGTCCGGAATCACAAATCAAGAGACATGACATCCAATTTAGCATGAAGCTGCTCAACTTTCTCATTACCGCTTGATTGGCCTACTATTCGGATAAGAGTAAATTGAACAGTTTGGTATGTTGTTCTCGCACAGATTCACAAAAAACTGCTATTCACCCGAAACTACTAGTTTTGGTACCAAATTATTACAAGCCCAAGTCTATGACTGAGTTATGGGTCTCTCGTAAGTGGAGGTAGACGATGTTTGTGTAGGAAAAGAAGAAGAATTCTTTTTTCAACCTACTTGGAATAATTATAAGGCTCTCCGTCATTCTAGTTGTCCGTTTGTAATGGTATACTTTGAACATTATTTGTTAATCTAACTTTTCCTTAAATGCATGCATGTTTAAAAAAATTTAATTAAGGTGTATTTTCAAATATTGTACGTCAGTAAATAATGGTCCATGACTCGAGCTCTCAAAAAGCTGGCCATTATCCTAGAGATCATGAAATTGCTCCGTCACTACATGGAATAGAGTTGACCGAACAAGGGGTCCCACTTAGAGATTCAATCGAACTACTAACCTTGCGCGGTTCAAGGGGTCCCATCGTATACACAAGGAGCTGTAGTGAGGAGCAAACCTTGAAGAGTCCAAATTCAACTGTCGGGCTGTACTTACCATTACGCAACTAAAGTCTAGCCCAAGTTCTGCCGAAAAGTCTCTTTATACCAAATAATACCTTTCGTTATGCACGATATTTTAGAGGTGGGTTGCGCAATTCAATTTTTTCCATCAGAGAGGTGTGAATAAAGAATTTTTCAAAAATGTAAATTGAAACATGAGACAAGGATAAGGACTGGAGGCCTTCCTATCTCTATCCGGCCGTAGACATTTGTAATTATTATATTTTTATATTTAAAATTACTTAAAAACAAATAACTTTAAAGGATTAAATATATGTTTCAATACTTTTGTTTAAAATATTTAAAAATGGAATCTTGACCTAAACTTGATGGTCCAACATAAAAAAAAAATGTCAAAGGGGGTGGGATAGGTCCACCTAACCCTGAGGGGGGCAGTCTGTTTGATATCCGGTGTACGTTTGTGTCGCTGCTCATATTCCAATTTCTCCAAGTGATCGGGCCTCGCAGCCCCACCCTCGCAGCCCCTCCTCAAATCTTGGTATTCGTGGCCTAACGGCGCTGACTAGTGGCTGCCTCACCTTTCGCCATCAAATTTCGGATCACCACATGACTCCTTCCTTCCCTCTCCGATTTCAACTTTTTCTAACCGCCTTTGCCCAATTCCCTCGCTCTCTCTCCTCTTCTTTTTCTTCTCACAAGGGTTAATTCTCTCGTGGGCTTCTTCTTTTTTTCCCTTTCTGGGTTCTTCTCTGTTTCTTTGATCCATTTATCTAACTCTCTCTTGGATTTCTCTTGTTTTTCCCCTCTCTCTCTCAACCTGATTCCTCCCTTTATTTCGGATTTTGGGGTTTTCTTCTTCTTCTTTAGCGTTTTCTCTTATCTGGGTTCTGTTTTTTTTTTTTTTTGCCTTTAAACTGGTGGGTTACTCTGTTTTTCCTCTGTTTGTGCCATTTGATGGCCTGTTGATGTCTCTGGCCGTTGAAGTGGGTTCGAGTTCAAAAGGGATAATGGGGTTGGACAAAGAAGACGATTCTCCCGAAGTTTCTGAGCCCAAAAAAGCTGAAGATGGAGAAGACGTCGATGCGACTTCTGGGTTGAGTCGAAAAATGAGTGAGTCCTCAATCTGTGCTACTGAAGAGGAAGACGATGAAGATGGAAGGAAAATCGAATTGGGTCCTCAATACACTTTGAAAGAACTCAACGAGAAGGATAAGGTATCATTAACTCTCCCCCTTTTTTAAGAACTTCTTCATTTTCTTTTAGTTCATCTTGAGCTCTCTGTTTTTAGGATGATGAAAGCCTGAGGAGGTGGAAGGAACAGCTTCTGGGTGGTGTGGATTTTGAATCTGTTGGAGGTTTAAACCACAAACCCTTTTAAATTTTTGCTTCAAATTCCAAATCCCTTCATGATTTGTGTTCTTTTGTGTATTAGAAACTCTTGAGCCGGATGTTAAGATTTTGAGCCTTGCTATCAAATCATCAGGCCGGCCTGACATTGTTCTTCCAGTGCCTGAATGTGGGAATCCCAAAGGCCTCTGGTTTACTTTGAAGGAGGGCAGCCGTTATAGCCTTAAGTTCACTTTTCAGGTCAGCAATAACATTGTTTCTGGCCTCAAATATACCAATACAGTCTGGAAAACTGGCGTCAAAGGTAAAAAACAAGCACAAAAACCTCTCTGCCATTAATGGAGAACTGTTCTTTCAATGTTTTTTTTTACTTTTACTGTCACAGTTGATAGTACAAAAGAGATGATTGGAACCTTTAGCCCTCAGCCTGAACCTTATGATCATGAGATGCATGAAGAAACAACCCCTTCTGGCATCTTTGCTAGGGGATCTTATACAGCCAGAAGCAAGGTCAGTTCTATGATTTTAACATGTCAATGGATTAGTAGAATAATGTTTACTGCTTATTTTGATTGGATTATACTTTCGATACTGAACCATTTAGACCGAACAATCTAGTCCTTAAACTGTAATTGGTAATGATTTAGTCTCGTTTTAGTTCTTGAACTTTGAAATGAGAGAGGAGATATCTAGTCCTGTAATTGGTAATGATTTAGTCTCGTTTTAGTTCTTGAACTTTGAAACGAGAGAGGAGATATCTAGTCCTGTAATTGGTAATGATTTAGTCTCGTTTTAGTTCTTGAACTTTGAAACGAGAGAGGAGATATCTAGTCCTGTAATTGGTAATGATTTAGTCTCATTTTAGTTTTTGAACTTTGAAATGAGAGAGGACCAATTTAGTAATGATTTAGTCTCGTTTTAGTTCTTGAATTTTGAAACGGGAGAGGATCAATCTAGTTCTTAAACTGTAATTGGTAATGATTTAATCTTGTTTTAGTTCTCAAACTTTGAAATGAGAGAGGAGCAATCTAGTCCTTAAACTGTAATTGGTAATGATTTAGTCTCGTTTTAGTTCTCGAACTTTAAAATGAGAGAGAGGAGATATCAAGTGTTGAATTTGAATCCATTATGGATAGCAATTAAAGGGCTGCTATCTATCTCAACTGCACCTGCTCATTTATGGGTGCATCACATGGCTGCCTTTAAGGAAAGCAGCAGCAGCAGCAGCTTATTATTGATATCAATACCATCTGCCATGGCTATCAATGCATATTATATATGCTTATGCAATAAGTAACATGAAACTCCTTGTTTTAAAAGACATGTTTTTGTTTTGTGTTGGATTGCTTGTTCTTGACATGAATCTATGTCTATAATCTTGTCTGCTGGTTTTGTTGGGTTTGTTTTTTGTGTTGTTGTTTTTGGCTCAGTTTGTTGATGATGATAACAAGTGCTACTTGGAGATCAATTACACATTTGATATTAGAAAAGACTGGAAGGAGGACCAGGTTGCTTAATCATACCCCCCTGCCCGCCCCGTCGGATATTTGGATCATTGGGTGCCTGATTTGTCGCCCCGAATCCGCTGCTGCCTTGGGTTTTAAAGATCTTTAATTTTGCTGCTGTTCTTATTTATTCTTGATGTTTTTTTTCCTTGTTTTGAGAATGAATGAGGGATGAAGGATGTTTTTGAACTAACAATAGAAAATGAAAACACTGAGATGGGTTTTTTCCTTTCTTTCCTAATATTTTGTTTTCTAATTCTCTTTTTTAATATATTGTGTTCTTTTATGATAACGGTGTGCATGAAGTAGGTTGGAGACTCGGGTGTGCATGAAGTAGGTTGGAGACTCGGGTGTGCATGAAGTAGGTTGGAGACTCGGGTGTGCATGAAGTAGGTTGGAGACTCGGGTGTGCATGAAGTAGGTTGGAGACTCGGGGGTGTGCATGAAGTAGGTTGGAGACTCGGGGGCGTGCATGAAGTAGGTTGGAGACTCGGGGGCGTGCATGAAGTAGGTTGGAGACTCGGGTGTGCATGAAGTAGGTTGGAGACTCGG